TCCGTTGTGCCGTTGTGTATCCGCTATATCCGCTATATATCCGTTGTGCCGTTGTTATCCGCAGTATCCTTTGCAGAGGAAGGGTTATTTCATTTCAGAAAAGTGCACCGTTAATCGGTTTTAGTAACGTTTTTGGCACTTTTTTTAAGAGATAGAGTAAGCGTTTCATCAAAAGCATCAGTTTAATGAATCAACTGGAATACTTGAAGGATGATGATATTTTCTTTTTATGACGAACATTTATTGATGTAAAAGATCAAATGGAATAGTGTATGCATTTTGACATATCTAATATATTCTCATTTGGCTCACTGTTTTACTGCAATCTTATGAGCGCACATACTTGCATTAAAATAAAAAAAATTGACAAAGTGTTGTCACGCAAAGAAATTTTACAACATTATTTTAAATTTTCTTCATCCTGTTGCTTTTTTCGATGTGGCATTCTCCACTACATATTTGTTCAATTTGTATTTTTCACTCCAAACTGAAATATTCCGACAAACTCACTAATTTATTTTTATCATTTTTGTTTATATTTGCTCAAGAGATGTGATAAAACTGAACAATTAAATCCTGAAAATCTAATTGAAACTCTTTACTACTTAATTTCATCAAATTATAGGTAGTTTCTAAGGAAACAGTAACAGAAGATCCGGAAACGGGCACAAAGAAACGTACAGTGATAACGGAACGAGTAGTTACAACCAAAACATTTCATATCTTGCCGATCGTTGATGATCTGAATCAATCAATGACAATGGTTAATGAAACAGCAATATCTCGTCCTGATAAATCAAAAATGTCTAGTACCACGGGATTAACTTATAAAGATGGTGAAATATCATCTCTTTTGTCATCTGAACTGTCACCTATAACAACCACACGAGTAATACAATTTAATCATAATCCATTCCATGATATTGATTACGATCGAGTTGCCAATTTGATCATCGTCACCCGAGTGAGGCCTGCCACCGTCAAAGTATTCATTAATTTACTTGCTATAATTAGAATGAATTAATTAGCTAATGATACTAGCAATCTTTTTATAAAGAATAATATAATGTAAAATACTGAATAAAAAGTGGAACTTGTACAATTATCACTTTAAGTAATGGTAATTTGTAAGCTAGACTGAAAGATATATTAAATTGATTAACACTAAGATGAAATTAATTTGAAGCCAATATCAAGGACGTAGGCCAAAATTGAAAGTTTTATTAACTTTTGACAAAAATCAGTTACGAAAATTTCTCGCTTTTCTAATTTATCACCGTTTAATATGGATCCTTAAAGATCATTTTCCTGTTGTAATAGTTGCCGTAATTTGATAGGAAATCCGTCCAGGCGATGCGATCGTTGAAATCAATGGGATACCTGTCAATGAAATAAGAAGTTTAACAGAATTAAATGATAGCATAACATTGAGAATGATGCCAGCACCTTTACATCAAGGCCCATCAGTAAGTTCGTTTGTTTCTCTATGAATATTTCTCTAAAAAGACCATTAGAAATAGAATGGATTGCTTGACTTTCAAATTTCTTAATTGCTCAGTCCAAATGATTAGGCCAATTTCCCTATTACCCATTTTAGGAAGAATTGTGAAAGTATGATTTTTTTTCACTTTAATAGGAACATTTTTCTTATTCATACAATTTTATTTAGAATTGAATAATTACAGTTTAACTTTTGAATTATCTCATTTCTACTCTGAACTTATGAAGGTTGGATGCATTGAGGGTAATGATCTATTTTATAATTTTATACAAATCATTTTGTCACTCTAAATTAAGGTTTATTATCGTGCAGCATTGGATTATAATGGTTTAAATGATAGTCGTGCGCCAATTAATTTCAATGTCCTAAATTTGAAAAAAGGTGATATTATCCAAGCATTCAGTAAGGATTCTAATTGGATTCAGGTCGTCGTACTTTGATATCTTTGCACTATAATTTATTTTCTTAATTGTCATTTAGATCGTTCACTACTACTAATTACTACATTTAACGCATACGGCAAAATATTGTTCTGATGAAATGAATTCGACATTTATTCAAATTTCTCCATCTTTCTTTGTTTCCCACTCGGGAACGGCGGATTTGATATTTAGAACTTATAGGAACTTATAGAAAAACTTGTAAAACTTATAAAAGGAGAAATTACAATATGATTTTAAAGCTAACAGGACAGATCAATCAGTTTTTAATAATTTTTAAAAATTTTTACAGGGCCGAAAAGTAAATGATCTAAATCAAACGGGTTTGTGTCCGGTAAGTATACTTGGTGAGCAGGTTTCAATGCTTTCTCCGTATGGTCGTCGGGTTGTGGTACTGTTGGGTGTTCCAGGTGTTGGGCGCAGAACTCTCAAAACGATGCTTCTGAATCATTTGCCGCAATACTTCGGAACCGCTACTCCCTGTAAGCTAATTTATTAGCTATTAGTTCAATGACTTCTTTGATTAGTTCATAAGATGCTGCTCATTAGCACACCGACCTGACCTTCTCTTGGACATTTGAAATTGAATTGCTTTGAAAGGCTTATTCAAATGGAGCACAATGCGAAGTTTGCTATATTCTGCTATTATAGAAACTTTTGGGGAGTAAATGAATCAAGTACTCTCTGAAATTGAGTAGAAAATTTTAACGTGAAATTGAGTGGAAAATTAGCATTGGTGCATATCGCAGACAACTGCGCATGTTTACAACAATAGGAGAATATAATTTTTTATTATTGATAATTTTTATTATTGTTAGCATTAACGGTATTGGAAGTTCTTTAGATACTTCGCGAGTTCCAAAACCTAATGAGCTAGAAGGTCGCGAATATTATTTTCGAACGAAGGAGGAAATATTAGAGAGAATCCGAGCCGGTGATATGATTGAATGGGGTGAATTGGATGGACAACTTTACGGCACCAGGTTTCACTTTTCGGTTCATCTTTTTCATTCCATCACTTCTAATATTCTTCATTCCATCATGAAATATAATCTTTTTTTTTACGGATATCAGCAGAGATAACCGGATGATATTTCTGGGTAGTGCATTAAATTCTTTAGAATTAAAATTTTTCTTCCGTTAATTTTGTTTGATCCTAAATACTTACTGTACCTTGCAGCCTGGAAACAATACGAAGTTGTATTCGAAGCGGACGAGTTTGTTTGTTGGATTGTGCGTCGCAAGCTTTACGACATTTATACAATGCAGAATTTATGCCACTTGTTGTGTTAATTGCTCCTCCAGAAATTGACGATTTTCGACGAATAAATAAACTTCGATTGCAACCTTACACTGAAAAGCAAATGGAAAGTTATATTCAGGAAAATAAAGAATTGATGGAAAGTAATTATGCTGAAATGTTTCATATTGTTTTAGTGAACAGAGATTTGGACGACACTTTCAAAAGGTTATTCTTACTCATTTCATTCTGCAAACGCCATTCAACACCTTTTTTGTAGCAATTAAATACAATTGAGTTACTATTTTGGGTTCAAAGCCTATTCAGTATATATGTAATATATTTGATTGGTTTTGTATGATGGAACTGCATTTTTGAGATTTATTCGGACTGAAATATGAATTAAAGAATGTGAAAAGTAAGAAATAATAATTTGTTCTAAATCAAATTATTCCTAACCTTGACATTTGAGAAAATATTTAAGATTTATAAAATATAATTTTAGATTGCTGGAGATTTTAAATAAATTGAGAGATGAAGTGCAGTGGATACCGGAAGCTTGGCTACGTCGAAGATAAATGGTTTCTTTTTTTGAAGTAATTCAATTTAAACTCTTTTTTGCACTTAATTTCTTGTAAATTGAAATTCTTTGATTACTTTTCCGGTTCTTGCAATGTATTACGAATTGTTTTAGTTTTTAATTCATGAGGTGAATGTTAATATTTTGAACCAACAAACAAATTTATATTTTTATAAAATTTTGAAATTTTCTCGAATTGATCATTTGGTTTTCCTATTCTTCATTTTTAATTTTTTTGCTGTTCTCAAATTCTAATAACATATCGCTAGTTTAATAATTTTTTATTTTCACAATTTTGAATTTAATCACAGCTTCATTTATGCTAATTGAAATTATTCTTCTACAAATTATGGCCAAGGAAATAGGAATGTTTGTAAGATCAATATGTGTAATTTGTGCGACATTTCGGTTGACATTAACTTTTTTTTCATAAAAAATGTCTCGTACTTTAACCCTGTGGAAAATTTTTCAATCTTTTATCAATTTTTCATCCATCGAATATTCACAGAAGCAAAAATCTAAACATTTTTCTTTTTCCTTGGCAGATGATTTGAATGATGCATTGAAATTAAAAAAGATTTAAAAAAAATTAAAAGCATAATCCTATTTGTACTATATTTAATGCTCTTCTTTTATTCTAGAAATTATTGATACATTTATGTCTTCCACAAGTATTTTGTTTACATTATAACCTTCGTCCCATTTTCATGGATTTTCAAGGTAACGAAGAGTAGTTGAGAGAGTGAAGTTAGTACAATCTCTGAAAAGTACTTCCAACATTCTATTGAAAGTTAAAGAACTTTAATTTTTATTATTTAGCTAAGCAAATAGCATCAGCTACCTACCTGCCCTATTTTCTATAATTATCTATTTAGCTATCTCATTTTCCTACTGCGCTGGACTAAATTTTTTGTTTTTAAATAAGTAAAACGACATGACAAGGTTTAATATGCTTATCAGTTCTGATAATCCAGAATTTAACAAACTAATTTAATGAATCTAGTCAAACTGCTACATGACATACGGTAAGAATTATCTCTTTTGATGTGATAATATTCTTGATGTAATAATATTCTTGATCATTTTCTACACCACTGTTTCACATACTACACGGCTCTCATCAAATGATATAGCAGTTACTATAGAATTTTTAATTTATTAATTTTTACATTTCACTTTTTCATTTGAAATAAAATGTCTGTTACACTTTATAAGGATTAGATCAAAATATAGATTAGATTAAAAATATACAACGTTTCTTCTTCAAAATGTACTAAATTACACTATTTTTCTCTGTACGTAAATGCGAACAATAAGTATGAAAAGAACACAAGAAGCGATATCATGGAGATGGAAATTATTTTAACACTATAATGCTGTTTAAATTTCTTTCAAATAACATTACAGTAAGAATCCAGCATATTATCATCATAAATATCTTTTGTTGAGGTTCAGAACTTCATAATTCCCGCTATTTAGAACACTAATATATGAAAGCTAAGCTATACTTTACCATCAGTATGTAGCCAAGTCGATCATTCAAAACAGTGCATTTGATTTCTGACAATTTCTGGTGCGGAAGTAAAATTGGGCTTGAATAACTCTAATAAAGCACCAAAAAACTTACGTTGTTAGCATTGTAGCAAATAATCCGTAATATGGAAAATGGATTATCAAACTTAGGTTTTATTATGGTTTGCTAAAATATTTTGAATTATTTTATAGTGACATGACTTTGTCTGTATGACTGAGTTCAAATGGAAAGTATGACCTCACTCCTATTTTAACTGCCAAGACTTATTTCTAAAAAGATGTTTTGGTGGCGAAAAAATTTTAAGCAAGGTGTAGCGCGGTGACTAACAACCTTTAGTCAACAATATTGATGATCCATTAATGGCGTCCAAGTTTTTAGGTCTTCTTTGAAGTCCAATTCTTTTTTCCTAGCTTTTCCACATGACCTGTGTGTAAGACCTCAAAGCTCATCGAACTGTACAATACTGTATGGAAGGTGTCTTCGAAATGCGCATGGAAAGACCCCAATAACAGCATCTTCGAAAGTATGAAAGGAAGACTTTTGAGTATAATACCTCGCTTTCTAAAGGAAATAAACATCATATGAAGTTAGAGTTTTCAAAGGTTTTGAAACAATTGCTAAAACCATGTACACTCGAATAATGCTATTCTTTGTACATCTTAAAATATTAATAAACAGACAATCAAAACACCGTCCAGAATATGGCCGCAAAAATAAACACTGCCACATCCAAATCGTTCAGTCAGAATCACTCTGACAAACTAGTATTATCCCCAGTAAAACAATAATTTTTACGAATGTTTTGACTTTTATAAATTTATCAAGAAACTTTAGAAATAACAAAATCGCTGTACAAGGCAAATCAGGGAGAAGAGAATACGAAAGAACAATACTTTCAAAGTGCCATCACATTCGCATTAAACCAAAAAGAGTGAAGAAAGAAATAGAAGTTCACATCCTTCAATATGTACTAAATGTTGGCATGTTGGTGGCATTGGATAAAAACACGCTATTTCAGCAATAAATTTAAGGCGCAAAAAATGTCATTAGATATGTGATGAAAACACGCATTACGAGAAAAATAATGCAATATCGGCAAAAATAAAGATCGTTCATTTAGAAGATGGAAAACTAATGTTGATACATTGATATTCCTGTAAAGTTAAGGCGAAATTGTACAAAAAAAGAAAAAATAAGAACAGATTTAAAGACGCTTGTGTCTGTAATCAAATATATGAAGACAATCACTCAGCACAGAAAGCATAGCGGTTAAATGAATTAATTAAAAAACAACTGGAAAATCTGTCATTCGCTGAAAAGTCATACGCAAGGATAAAACCGATAACATAAAGATTTGTAACAGTTTACCACTGACAAAGAATAATCAAATTTCAATTTGCATCAATCTGTATTTATCTTATCTTTTATAGCAATTGATTTATTTTGTTCGAACAACGTTTGTTTCCATTACAGTTTTAAAAACTCCGAGAATTCCTTCCACTTGACAAAATCAGTAACTTAATAATTTACAGAAAAGTTAATGATAAAGATTTGTACCAGAGGACCCGAATGAACTTATGCAGTCGTTGCTGTTATCGATATGGATCAGTTACTTTGTGACCCGTCTTCATTTCTTTCATGGTCACCATGATTCACCACTACAATAAGTAAATAATAAAACGAATATATGCGTAGGCAAATAATCAGATGAGAAATATCCAGAATCATAAAAATATTCAATTAAATACTTTTCTGAAACAGTGAAACCAAAATTCAAAGAAGGCAACATTAAAAAAAACGATGATTCTACTACAGCAGATCAGTAAAACTAAAGTTAAATATTACTTTAATAATTACAAATGCAATTTTTTGGTCTTATGATTTAATTATCAATCAGCACAGTAAATGACAGACTCACCACTTGCAGTAGAAGTAACAGCGTTATTAAATGCATTATTTGAATGATTTTGTGACGAGTTCGATTGACCTGTACAAGGCGAAAATGGATTAATTTTGTATAGAAAGCATAAGTTACATACACGAACCTGAAATGTGAAGAATTTGGCACAGATAAAAATATTTTTCGTAAAATCTATTTTTGAAGTATGAAATAAATCCTAAAAAAGATGTAATTATAGGTGAATTTAAATTAAAAGGAAAAACGGTGTGTTACAGAGAAAAGCCGACAAAAATGATTAAAGCCAATTCTCCTTCTGTACATCAAAGATGATTTCCTATTCCCATTTTCACACCAATACCAGCAATATATTAATAAGTAGGACACGCAAAAGTAAAAACAGTACTTCACATTGAGAGTCCTTCACAGTACGAGCAGATAAAAATGCATGATTTAGAATTCAAAATATAATGAAATGATTTTAAAAAGACGATAGAAGGAAACAAAAACTGATGCTTCATATAAACAAGAAGGAACCAATACTTTTCTGTCATAACCCAATTCGGGAAGTGGTAAAGAGTTGGCAGAGCATCGTGAGCAAAATATTCGTCCGCAATTGCGGCAATGATGACGACGTCGGACTAACGTGAATTGCGCACCACAGGCCGTGCATTGTTCACAATCACTATCTGGTACCCAGCGAACACCTACAGAAAATAAAAAGATTTTGCTTCATTTCGATTTTTCGAAATGTTACTTGTAGACTGATAAATGAAACAAAAAACAAAAACCAACCGACAAGGGAAGGTAAAGGAAGTGTTTCCTGCACTTCTACACCCATTTCCTCTTCGTTTTCTGGATTTGGCGCTGTTTTTCCGGATATCTGAGATACAGAATACAATGAAAATTTTTCACCGCAACAAGAAAAAAAATTTGCAAGACTTACATTACATAATATAACCATTTTAAATTTAGATATTATAATAATGAAAAAAGTCACCTGGAGAGTTAAATTCAAAAAAAAACAAACCTCAAAAATTGGCACAGCATCGTTCGGCTGTAAAATCATCTTCAGCACACGTCGTAGGTCAGTGGGGTAATTTGTTTGTAATTGATCAGCAACGCCACATATGCAGACAAATAAACGATGTATTAGATCGGCGGATGAACGGAATCTGGCACGTAGACGACGGGGATCCGGTGGACAAGTCATACTGCAAAGAATCATCTGCTAAATTATTGGAGAGATCAGTTCATGTACTACTTATTACAGAAATCCATTACAAATCACTCAAGTTTTCATTTTCGTTTCTCAATACAACATTTTTTTTTAAGACATAAAGAACCAAAAAACGCATTAAAATAAATTATATTAAACAAAGATCTGCAGATTCAATTTCATTAAAATCTCAGTTGCTTTAAAATCATGGAATACCATCTTTCAAAGCAGCTATTTCCACTAGTGTTTTGAAAGATGGCATTCCATGCTTTGAAGCAAATAATATTCTAAATCAGAATACTCTAACTTACATAAGAAGATCTAGTTTCAGGGAACTTTCAGTACTGCTCCATTCATTATTGCCTTTAAAAAGAAATGGAGATAGCATTCTGTGTGCAAAGGCATTTGCATGATATGCACCACTTGAAACACTAGGTTCGTCGCCATCAGCTGAGAAATTCGAGCCCGAAGAGCCGTTCGGTCTACAAAAAAGGCAAAAACAAAAACTAACATTTTCTGAGGATAGTATGAAAATGACAATGATAACATTAAAAATAGTGTCAAGATTTACTGAGTTCATGTTATATAAAACATAAAGCTTGGTTCGTTGGAAAAATAACCACTGCGGTATGGACCTAGGCCGCAATGAACAAAAATGATATGGAATCACAAAAAAATCTTCAAAATGAGCTAAGGAGAATGACCATCAATAAAAATGAGACAAAAATAAAATCACATTGGAAAAAAGAATAAAAAGGTAGAAAAGATTAGAATGAGGCAGGTAGAAACGAAAATCTGATGGCAGTTCCAAATAATAAAGAACTAATATCATCAAGTTGGTATAATGGAAATAAATTCAGTTATTTTAAGATTCAGTTACTTTAATAATAGTTATCTATTTTTCGTTAATCCATTCCTTTTAATAGCTGGAAAACGATAGCCAACTATAAGTAATATGTGTATTTATTCTTTGTCGTTAAAAAACAAGCAAAGCATCCAAAACATCAAATTCAAAAGTATTTACTAAGAAGCTCATCAAATTCAAAAGTATTTACTAAGAAGCTCATCCCCACAAATATATAAAGCTGCACTACAATATGCTACGGCTAAGACAATGCTGCTGCATAAATCTGGAAGCAAGAAATATTATACTAGTTCGCCCCAGCGTTTTGCACGGCCCTTTTATTTCTGCTCTAGATCAATCTTCTAAATGCATTTCAGTGCAGCGAAATCCTCTTTTCCTAATAATTATAATCAATAATCAAATTTTTACCGTAATTTTTGCGTTTCCGAAATCCTTTCGTCTTCTTCTCCAGTATTTTTCAAATGAAAATTTGCTATCGTCAGTGCTTCGCCGACACTATCATCATCTGGAATAACTAAAGTAAAGAAAATCTTTTGCGGTCTAAACAAATTAAAAATAAGGCTAATATTTTATCGACATTGATAAATGCCAATAAACTTTTGGATCCCTCATGCCGAATCAACCTTTCCAGAGAAATACACGACTATTTTTTAATTCCGAACATGTATGTTACCTCTCGAATAAAATAAGAGAATAGACAGAATAGATACGCACCAAATTTAACTTGCGTTTCGCCAGTACACAGAGCTTTCTCGACGCGATGTAATTCATGCAAGTTCAGAATACGCAACAGGTCGCGAATTTTCACCAACAGACTGTGAAATGAGCGGAACATGTCAGACAACACTTCAGGATTCGCATCTACATTCAGTGCCCCTTCCGGAAAATATAGAAGACCACTGCAAAATAATTTATTATGCAATTCTCACTGATGAATTGGCATTATATCACTAAATCATCTGTAAAGAACTCGTCAGTTAGTTAATTGCTAACAAAATATCAATCCAATTTCAGTTCTTTCCATTTGATGGAAAATGAAAACGGAAATTAAAAGCAAAACTCACCAAACAATGGCTAAACGTGGAACAGCAATCATTACAACAGGATCGCAATCATCAATCTGATCCTGCGTTAGATAACCTAACCTAAGAGCCCTGAAAACAATATATCAGTAGGATGTAATGTTTAAAAAAGAGCATATGCTATGGTGTTCATTTCATTTGCATTACGACCTTAAATTTTAAAAAACATAACAATGTTGTCGAACGACATTTCAGAAAATCACTCAAATTATATGAAATAAGAGTTGAATCCTCATACTACTTTCAAGCTTTTGTAAATGATGCTTTGAGCAAAAAAGAAGCAAATAACAAACCTATCTAATGTTTCTGAAAACAAAACGGCAATATCTAATTGACAATCGTACTCTTTTACACTTTTAACTGGAACCATTGCACTTACGTAACTGAAATATTATTTCACAAAGAAAACTTGACAGCTCCTGACGGACATTTTAAACATCTGATAAATTAAGCACATATTTTAAAAACTTGATGAACAGATAAAAAATCGATTCCAAAAACAAAAATAATGTCAAACTTCATATGAGTTTAATTTTCCAGAATGTAAAGTTCTGTAAAACATTTTGGAGCTAAAACATGAAAACACATAAACATTATCTATATCGTGATAAAAACTTCCTCTTGATACATTTCTAAGCACTCATCTCCACAATATAATTGTGTCTTCACGTTTTATCGTCTAACTAACTTCGTTCACTAACTTCAGTTCAAATTCGGCAAAAAGCTGATCGAAATGCTTTAAACTTCTCTTCACTTTATCGCTATAATGTGTTGGGTCTCTAAGAGACTGATCTTTCAGCAAATCGCGCAAGGTATCCAAATGTTTAGTTAGTGCACGAGCCATTGGTCTTATGGCTTCTGATTCAATTTCATGATCAATTATATTGGATCCTGCTGTAAGGCACTGCAATGAGATATCTATTAATATCACTGCTAATAAGAGTTTATTTCGACTAGTAATATATTTATCTATATTACGATGATAAGATGTATGCATTGAAAGCATCAAAATACCTAGCTGATAGGTCAATCAACAAGTGCAGCTAATTATCATTTAAATATAAAATAATTAAGAACAAGAAATTTGCCTCAGCGCCGAACCAGAGTTGTCCAGGTAAATTGTCATGCATGATTTCCTCTGGAAATTTCACACGGTAATCACGACAGGCACGATCTGATTCACGAGGAAATACTTGCTGTATCATTTCTGCTGCAACAAGATTTGAAGTGAATATAACTCAAGAATAATCTCCAAACTTTATAGATAGTTCTTCGATGCAACCTTGTTAGTTCCAGAATAGAAATATCTTCGCTAGAGAAAGGTGTCTAATGAATAAAGGATGCTAAATATAACGCCTCTGACTTTGTTCACTTGCTAGAATGTTTGAAGACGAAAAGAACGATAAACTGACAAATTATGTGCAAAAGACGATCCTGTGCTTGCCTCAGCTTGTTGACAAGTTGGCTACAACGCTCTGGGTCACGACGTCCATCAAATGAGTCTAATTCGCTGGCCACTGCGTTCAGTGCCTCGTCTGCATAATAGAATTTGGCTAATGGATTCCAATCATCTACACGAGGTTTATTGACCAGCTTGCCTGGAAAAAGTCTAGCATAACAATAGCATAACAACAGCCATATAAGTAAAATTTTCAACATAATTTGCAAATTTAAAAACAAATGAAACTAACGCAAGCTTTGCATAGTAGCTGATGCTATACTCCACCACGAAATGATTGCCGCCCTTTTTTTCACTGTTAATACTACGATCAAATAAATGATTACACAATGAAAAACAAATGAAAACACGAACAAATGAAAAATATCAATTTCAACAATTCTGAAAAAAAAAATTAATTCAGGAATCGCTTATAGCCTTACATATCTCATCATCTTTTATTTCATCATTTTAATGATAAAGACGATGTGGTTATCTCTCGATTCATGATAGCTTAGAAGTAGCATGTATAAGAGAATTTGCAATTGAGCCATATCGACTTTATCACATGATGGAATATGGAGAAAAAAAAAGATATCAAAAACATAAAAACTTCAAAATAACCTTATCTCACATAACTTCTGTACGCAGCAGAAACCCTGACCCTTAATTATTTTCTTGAAAAAAACACTATAATTAAGAGAAGATGGAACTCGAAGAGTGAAATACGAGTTAACAAAACCTAGGCACTAGGAAACAACAAAAATACTTGCATCTAACTAACCTAACCTAAACCGATCTGCTACCTCGCTCAACCTTGATTATATACCCAATCTATTGGGACCAGACACCAACCAAGCTGCCGTATACCACAGCAAGAATCACCAAACCGGCCATCATATTACAGCGAGGGAGCGATTTTGCAATTTTAATTCCCACAGGGATTTGAGTGCAATGAATGATACTGTAAAGTGTTACGTGAAGGGCACGTGAAGATATTCATCATAATTAGTAATCTCCTACTAATTAGATTGTTATTGCTATAAATGCAGCATTGGTCAAAGTTTCCTTTCCCAAATGTTTTGCAAGAGTGGTCTTTTATTTGTCCACTCCATAAATTCATGTCTATTAACAATACTTTGCTATATCTTCTTTATATCTCATATCTTACCTGTCCTATTTCCAACAACGGATAAGTAAATATATCTTACGAAGAAAATTGTCTGCGAGCGATTGAATTGACCCAAAACGATCTGTTAACGAGCGACTGTTAGATAATAATAAATCACTTGTCGATAATTTTTAATAAATAATTATTTCTTGCAAAGATATTTACGAATGATTGTTTAAAGAGCGACTGAATCGATCACAAGCGGTCAATCTAACGAGTGACTGTCCGATGACAATTGTGATGTCGCATTCGGAGCTGTCAGATTTATATGTAAGATGCAGGGTCTGAATTTCCATATTGCTGTATGATTTTCATAATCATCATAAATTTACATAATATGACGGGTAATGAGATTATAATCTATTCATTTCATATATTCATATTGCAAATTCAAACCATTTACCGTTCAATTTACATGGTCGTCATATATTATGTTGTTACGTGTTGTTACCTTACGTAATCATCCCCATGCCTTTGAGCATCTGGGAAGAAATGAACACTACACTTTATATTACAAATATTCGTTGTAATACAAAGTCGTTGTAGATGCCCCATTCCGGTAAAGGAAGCCATCCAAAAACAACGAATTCTACACGTACTCAAGTGAAGCCTATTCCAAATTTACGTGTTGATGACGACACTGAGAGAGTGGAAGCTACCATTTTTTTCTTACGTTGCCAGGTGTAACAGTTACACGTTTTCTCTTTTCACTTAATTATTTATGGAACGAATTTTTCTCTGCTAATACAAAAATTCGGGACATGCATTTTTAATTTCGTGTTTTAGATTGAAATGTTACTTATACTTTTACCGGTTTTACTTTACGGATAGATAATTGCTTGGAAGTAAAGTAGAAACAGTATTATGACTTTTAAGGATTTATTAAATTACTATTTAAGTACATTGCCATCGCGATAATCTGTAAATGAACGTAATCGCGGTAGAAACTGAATATGGGATATCTTATAGTCCGGAAGTGAAATGAGGGAAGGTTGCAAATTCTCCTAGCATACAAATATTATAATAAATAAATGAGATCTGACGGTAATTGAATTCACGTTGTGATGACTAATTGTAATAGCTAAAAATTCTTTATGCAACGTGAAGAGCCAAATATATTTGAAAATATGGAAATAAATGAGACGGCCGGTGCATTTACATCGATCTTGCATTATTTGATTTGCTCACTTGCGTGGAACGTGATATTTCAGGAGTGGATGACAAGAAAATACATTGAAGAGATACGCATATTATATCTTAAACCACTAGATGAACTATATAGTGAGAGAAAACGAGTAATTGGTAAGCAAATTCTGCATCATTAATTTAACTCAGATTTAAAAATCCTTTTTATTCACCTTTTTCTTTTTCTCAGTCGCTTCCGGTAATGAATGTAAGGAATGAATATGCGCCTTTGTTTTATTATTCCTTCATACTTCTCTAACTTTCTTTGAAAATTATTCCTATCCACCAAAAAGGGTAGTAATTATTTATCCGTATTTCATTCCTGTATGTGAATTTTTTACAGTTAGAATTTATCCATAATGTTTTATATTATTTAATGTAGAATCTGTAAGTAAATCGTTGGAACCTTCAAGTAGTGGTTCAGCACATGAAGTAATTGCTACAAATGGCGCTGGTGATAACCGTCTAACGAGCATCGATAAAGTCACCGAAAAATTACAACGTACATAATTTATATTTGCATATGATAACCTTCTCTATTAATGCATCCTTAAATCGTCTAAATTTTAAAATATACCAACAGAATACAAACTTATAAATTATTCAAATGTAATAATCTTCCATATTAGCAAACACATTTATAAAAATTTAAATAGTTTATCAAATCAAAATTTTTTTTATCTTCATAATTGCTTAAAGAATTCATAAATGATGAATTTTGAGAAGCGCTAAAAGCACTAAAAGAAGATGATGGAGGTGCAACACGGGGTTATCGACCACTAACTCGTGAAAAAACAGTTTCATTAGCTGACTGTTGCGCACTGTATCGGTTGAAGACAATTCTAAAAGCAATGCATGAACTATTGGATATACAAGCAAATTTGGATAAGTCCGTTTTTTCATCAAATTGAATGAAATTTTGAAATTAAGTGATTCCTATAAGTAAACGAATTATTTTTCCGTCATAAATTAATTTTTCTTTATTGTACCGAATGACATTATTGATTGAAACTTTGTTGCATTTATTAAAAATTTTAGATTTGAAAAGTTAAGGCAAGCGATTGAATATAAACAGCGTACTTTATAGATGGTTCGAAAATAATAAAGCCAATATGAATAAACATAAGGGGCTCTTAAAAAATTTATTAATTAATGCTCTTACAAATTTTGAAATGGCATATATAATCACAGAATTATTTGCTATTCAACAAGTGCCACTACAGGAAATTCAGGAAGCTAAAGTAAGTTGGCTGTTATTAGTTGGACATTTGCACTATCAATTTCATATTCTCTCGTTTAATAACTAAAATTATGGAAGTTGTATATGTTTATGACTTTCACTTTTAACTTAGCTTCAGAATGAGTTTTATTAGTAAATTTATTACGTCTGAATTTTTTTGGGGCAGTGAATATAAGTATTATATTCATTGCCACAAAAAGACAGTTATCCAAGCTGTGATGATTTTCATATTTTATGTCTTGCAGCCAGAATATAGCAAATATATTCGACCACACGTTGGTGTAAGGGATATTGAGATTGTCAACAAACCACTCAAAAATGGAGTTATTACGAGAGAATGTATAAAAAAACTTGAGGGACAGATCAATCATTTTAGGTCAGCTTTTTATATTTTGTCTCGTTGATAGGCAAAAAATGAGAATCAAATTCAAGTATCTAGAATTAAACCAAGGTTAAATTTATAAATTTAACAAAAATTGCTATCATGCATAGTTTATTGCATAACCCCAAATTAAGCTAATATTGTCTAATTCAATATGAAAAAAGTTCCTTAATAATAAACTGTAACATTAGTTTTCAAAAGAGACTCGGCACTTGGGGTTATGCAATAAATTATACATGGTAGTAATTTTTTTTAAATATATAAATTCTCTAACATTTATTTTTAATTTCACAGGACAGTTGTGTATGAGATGGGGAAGAATCTTGAGATTATTATTCAGACAATTGTTGCGAATATTCGAAATCATCATTTGGAGGTAAACGTAAAAGAGGTAACAACTTTGGTACAGAATAAAAAAATATGAATAGTCGTTCAATATTTGAAAATATATGATTCAAAAAAAACGGTATAAATAAATGACTATTCTTTTTAGGTAGCAACAATCATCGATAATTTACCGCCTAGATATCGTTTTCCAGAAACGATTCATCTCACGCCTTTTGCAAAAAAGTTGTTGACAAATGCATCACTGAGTGTGGAAACGGGCGATGTATTTGGCAATTGCGTTAGTAATTTTTGCAAACAGTTTTTATTTTGATCATTTAAAAACACAATAAAAATTTATTGCTTCATTAAATAACTCAAAAATTGTTGATCAGTAATTGACTCCTTCTTATTTGTTGAATTTATTGACAATCCTTAATCATTTCCTTTACAGTTGGATAGTTCACACAGTGTTAGCAATAATAATTCGAAACTATTAACTCAACCATCACAAACACCTACATCACGCTCTACTCGAAATCGTTCAGGCAGTTGAAGACTCATTCTTATCCACCACTCTATAAATATCTTGCGTCACACTGCAAAAGTCGTTATAAACTGGAGTTTTTTCCTAACATTACATTTTTCATTTAAAAAATAGTTCTAAAAAGTTTCCGATTACGCTCGTTTCTTATTGATTTTGCCAAAACAAAAAAATTGGTCTTCTCGTACTTATTGATGAACAGCTTGCCTTTTACTTCATCTCATTGTTAATAAAAACATAATTTTTAGAATTTGATTTTAAAATTCAAATTTCCTCTTTATGCATTGTTACTTCTGAACACTTTCATTCCAAATGAAGTGTAAAAAGTGAAGAAAAAAAATGTCAAAAAAAAAATTATTGTGGTGCCGATTGTTTCATTTTTAAAAGAATGAAGAGATTAATTTGAAGATCGCACGGCACTGAGGAATGAGCGGAGTGCACCGTAAAAGCACTACCAATGACAAATCCTCTCCGTTTCCATTAATTAACAGTAATGAAAACGAAGTGACACTCACTGGAAACACAAATAAAATGCCCATTATATTGACAGTTCGAAAAGGCTCACAATTGCATGCGAAATATTACTGCAAATTTATGGAGTAATGAAATTTTCTCACAAAAATTTTCCCTTTATCTGTCGTAAATTGTCGAGAAGCAGCCAGAACGAAATGAAGGAGAGAGATTATAGAATGTAAAGGAATATATTTGATTGCTAAGACACAACAGCTGTGTTAATTATACTGTAAAGAACTCGCAACACGTGCAAGTTGTGCAACCTTTTGACGTATAGAACGAGCATTAGGCGATATTCCCAGAAACAGAAGACATGCATGAGTCTGTAATTTTCGTAGTGATCCAAGCAAGAGGTAGAAATTACGGACAAAAATTACAAAAAAAATGTCGCCTTTGACTGCACTGGATGTTGGCGCGGATTGCAAGGGGAGCGAGCTTACCTGGTAAATATGCTGGGTATGGGCAGGTATGAATGTTATGTGATTCACATATCTGGTAGCATTCACACGAAAATATTAGTAAGGAATGGGCGAATTAGAAGGGCAGACTTGTGTTATGATCTACTGCTTAAGGTCAGAGGTCAGATTTTTTTTTTTTACGGCAACATTCTGACCATGTGGGTAGTCTTATTATCGTTAGTTATTATCATGTAACACACTTATTGGAAAACAAGAAAAAAGAATAGTTGCCACTGTTAAGAGAACGTTGGATGTCTTATAATGATTCATGATAGGAATGGCAGGAGAGAAACAGTGTATGTTGTTAACATACCAATCGTTAAGTTGTGTATTTAAGAGATTAGAGGTAATATAAAAGCGACATATCTGCCTATTACTTGATAAGTATGGACTGTGAACTTGCTGTTATCCATTTTCATGATTTACTTTGGTGATCAAGAATTTCGGGTTGTCAAATGAAAGATGGTCATATTTGCAATGACGACTACACGAACCGCTGCATTAATAGCAATAAATTATAATAGCACTATGTTCAGTATAGGAAGATGCTTTTCATCATCCTCGACTGAAAAGTTGAGAAATGCGAATAGAAAGAAAGTGATTGATTTGACAGCTTATCCACCAGGTATTGTTGCATTCCTTTCTCTTTTTGCACTTTTTTGTATGCCAACATTATGCAGATGCATGTCTCACCAACATGGAGCGTAATTCATCGAGTGAACGAATAATTCCTTTTTCTTATTGGTATATTAATAGTATTTTATTAGCAGTGATTTTTTTGGTGTGTAAATTGAATTTTTTTTGTAATTTTTAAAGAGAAAATACGTAATTTTGGTATTGTGGCACACGTGGATCATGGCAAAACTACTCTGGCAGATCGACTTCTCGAGTTGACGGGTGTCGTTGATAAAAGTAGTCATGCAATTCAAATGCTTGACAAATTGCAGGTTTCTTTACTGAACTTTTTTGTATTCTTATAATGGATGTCCGCATTTGTGTCTATCAGTTTATTGAATAGTTGGACTTCATTACTATTCAACAAATTTTTTTCTTGCAGGTGGAACGGGAGCGTGGTATAACGGTGAAAGCGCAGTCATGTACTATGTTTCATAAGGTATATTAATCAAATGTAGTTCATAATTTTGCGAGCATGTGGAAATGCATAGCAATCTTGTGAATAATTTACTGATTAAATAATTCAGGGCAGGTATTGATCAGATAGAGAACAGTGAAAAGGTTGTGTGAGATGATGTGTAAATAGACAGATTCAGTTCATTTCCTTTTAAAGTCTTCATTTACATTAATGATCCATCTTCAATAATTTCAAATAGCAAAATTTTTAAAATGATAAATTAGAAGACAAATGTGAGCTAGGGTTTGAAAAAAAAGTCATACAATGAATACAGTGAATGATTAGAGCAACATTATATTACAGGATTGCATGTTAAATTTAATCGATACTCCTGGCCATGCCGACTTCAGTTTCGAAGTTTCTCGATCTCTTGCCGCTACTAATGGAATTGTTCTTCTTGTCGCCGCTAATGAGGTTATAGAGTAGATTTCAATGCGAAGGCTTTCCAAATGATTTGTAAAATTTTTTAACCAATTATACAATGCTGCTTGCAGGGTGTAGAGGCACAAACGGTAGCTAATTTTTGGTTAGCATTTGAAGCTGGTTTAACAATTATTCCAGTTGTAAATAAAATTGATCTCAGCAGTTCTAACGTTTCACGTGTTCGTTCAAGTTTCAAATCTTTTTTATTCTTTTTTCCATCTGACTACTTTTTATATTTTTTTAAGGAGTATCATAGAATTAAGACGAAGTAGGAGACAAGTCTTTATCCTGATTCGGAATGCTGTCACCCGTGTTTGAACTTTCAGCTGTTCTCATCATTTATCTCTAAGTGCTTCTTCATTTTCATATATTTATAGGTTATATCACAAATGGAGAATTTGTTCGATTTTTCGCCATCAGAAATACTTCGTATTTCTGCCAAGAATGGTACTGGTGTTGATGATGTCTTGGATGCTATTGTTGAAAGGTTAATATTTATACTTGTTCATCATTATATTAAAGATGAATTTTCCGTAATTTCTAAAAAAAAATCTTCCCCATAATTTAAATTCTTATTAAGAACTGCTTTATAGTTTTTTTTTTCATTTTAACTTTTCTTCAGATTACCATCACCCAAAGGTGAGTTGCATTTACCTCTTCGTGCACATATCTTTGATTCCTGGTACGAGACTTATCGTGGTCCAATCGTTTGCGTTGCTGTGCATGATGGTAGGGTTTCCAAGGGGCAGAAAATACGAACTTATCATACTGACTGTGAATATGAAGTGTTAATGGTGGGCATCATGTATCCGAATATGCATGAAGTTGAGGTTAGTTCGTTTGTTCATGGTTTCAAATGATTTGTCACCATTATTATCCACTTCCTGTTTAAAAAATTGTTATAGTGTTTATATGCTGGCCAAGTTGGCTTTCTGTTAACAACGATAAAATCAGTACAAGATGCTGTTGTTGGAGAAACATTATATGATGTAAACAGTGCACGTAATACAATACAACCCATGCCTTTATTAAAGGTTCGAATTTGAGATGTGGTTAATGAACAAATTAGCATGTTTGTTTATTTCTGATCATGTTTATGTTACTGAATAATCATTTGCTATATAGTGAATGGACAGCGCAAATACAGCTGTGCTAATATCTTCAGAAAAATCAAATATAAAACGGGGTGAAATTGTAGCCCAGTGCGTCGTGCATTTACGCTAGTATTTATCCGACAGACGTGACTGAATACAATGCTTTACGCATTGCGCTTCACAAATTGGCTTTAAACGATTCATCGGTGCAAATCCAACATGACAGTAGCACCGCGCTGGGCAATGGTTTCAAAATTGGTTTTTCAGGGCTTCTGCATATGGAGGTAACTTTTTCGCTTATTAAATTTATTGGCATATAGCAAGTGTAGTAGGTTTTTCTCTATTTCTTTATCTCCCAACAAATATGTAACTTCCAAAATTAAAGTAGTTATTTTGCAGGTTTTTTGTGCAAGATTAGAGCAGGAATATGATGCCAATGTTACTATAACTGCACCTAGCGTCGAATATCGCGCTGTCATTAAGGATAATCCCACTATTATAAAGAAAAGGTGTTTCACCGAATCTTAGTTTATCCGTTACATTTGTGCTTTTTTAAGTTCATATTTTGTGACGGTGTCTAAAGTTCTATTCTTTTTGATTTTTAAGTAAAAATTATTTTTCATATTTTCTTAAATTTTTTTTTATTTTTTTAAAATATATTTGTAGTTTTTATAGGTACAATGGCCAACGTGTGATTCGTCTTTTGGATGCTAGTAAGTTCCCAGCTTGTCCCAGCGACGTTGATCATTTCTTAGAACCGATGATAAAATTAACGCTTTTATTTTCCAGTACATACTGTGAGCAGGTTGCAAGATTATGTATTGATGCTCGTGGAGAACAAGGTGTCATTTATTTTTAGTGCAATTAGTTTATTACTTACATTACATGCAAGGCTAGCGTATAATTAATAAGAAAATAAGTTCAAGCTTTACAAAGATGGAGATATTAAATTTTCTGTTTCATTCATTTAGTTGAGAATAATGGATTGGATACAGATTATGCTATGCAGCAGTGGAAATTACCTTTTGCTGAAGTTTGTGTCGACTTTTTTGAAAGGTTGAAAAGGATCACGAGGTTTGCTAATTTTGGTTTTGTTTTTGCTTATTCTATTTGTCAGGTTAATATTTCTTAAGCAAGTTATGTTACTAGCGTATTTTATAGAAAATAAGTTCAAGTTTTACAAAGAACGGGCAATGATGCTGAGTTAATACTTAGAGAAGTATTAACTCGGCATCATTGCTTGTTTAAAATGGCCTCACAGTTTCGAGGGATTTTTTTTTTCCAAGAAAAATTTTGAATGATAGGGAATGTTCCTTCTTTTATTTATTTTAGTGGTTATGTGACATATAATTATCAATGGGATGGTTTCAAACCAGCAAAAATTGAATTGCTTATGATATATATCAATGATCTTCCTATTTATGAATTCTCAGAAATAATGCCTTCAAACCAAGTTAAAGCAAGAGCTAAAGAAATTGTAAAGAAATTGAGAGAGGTCGGTTTTTATACAATTTTTAATGATTTTTTATTTCCAGTTTCTTCGCACTTCTCAAGAGTCATTAAGAGAAAAATTGTTTGGAAAATTTTATGCTGCAGGAGATACCTCGTCAGCAATATGAAGTACGAATTAAGGCTACTGTTGGACAAACAAAAAAGGCACTTGTACAGGCGATTATTCCTCCAATCAAAAAAGATTTTACGGGTCAACTAAAAGGCAACTTTGGAGGTTTGATAAGTTTTGGATTTTAGCGCAGTAATCACAGTTCTGCTTTTGTTAGCTATGAAAATTTTTTTGCTTTATTTCATCTATTTGCAAAAATTTCATTCGATTTATTATGTTTTATAAGCCCATTATATCTTCATTTTTTTCATTGACTTATAAACTATTCGGCTATTTATTTTAATTATTATAGTATTTTATTGATTTCGATCTTTCGCTGGGATACTTGTGACTTTAAGTTAGTTTATTTTCACAACAGTATTTCGATTCTTTTACGTAAAAAGCATTTTTTAAGTCTATTTCCAGGTGGTGGATGGGAACGTTATTGCAAAAAGCTGTCAGATCAAAAAAAAGGAAAGGAACGAATGAAACAGCTAGGTCAAGTGCAAATCCCCAAAGAAGCATTCATCAATGTACTGCGGAGGTAGTAAGGCTTACTTGGTCCCGAGTAGTTATTGAGGGCATTGAGAGGTAAAGCTTTGGCTGGAACGCAATAGTGTTTTGATGAATGAAATCGAAGTGGAGTTATTCCGCAGTAACATAAGAGATCGTAACCATTGTTTTTCATCTGTGACCTTTTGTTATAATTGTGTTTTTCTAGTTTCCTGCGATCAATTTGAGATGTAATTGATAATTGGAGTATCTTTCTTCTATTAATTCTTTTTTAAAAGAACTGGCATTTTAAAGGAAAAATTGAACTTCAGCAAAGAGCAGTCATTGTTGCTAACAGTTTTTTTTCGGTCCTGTAAATGATGTTCCGATAGATTCTATTTTGTAAATAATAAATATTGGAAAATTTTGGTTTCAGATTGAAATGCAGATTTCAGTCTCCACATTTTTTGGAAAAAGCTTTTCCAATTTAAGAGTTTTTTTTAATGGCAAATGGTTTCGTGTTAATATTTGATTCTGTCGAGATTTAATAAGGAATTCTAAAGTTTGTATGCAAGCATTTAAAACTGAAGAGAAAGATTTATATATTTCATTGATTGCTGTTATGTTTTACATCATAGAAGAAATCATATTATTGCTAGTACACGTATTAAAAGTAAGGATTCAGTCTGAAACCAGTTAATTTTAATGAACTAATTTCAAATATATTGTAGATAGTTAAAAACTACTGTTTGAATAAGGATATATGTCTATATATTATTCTTTATTAATTATGAAAAGTGCACATATTTGTAATGGATCTTGGTCCATACATGTAAAATTCGTCTTTATAGCGAGGGTGTTTATTTTCCACATTGTGTTGACGATTTGAAACAGTGGCAGTTACTGTAATCAGAAGAGATTTTGGTGAAGCGGAATGCGGTTGCGGGATCACTCAATTAGTTTTCAATTTTTAATGATTTATGTTGCATGATTTGTTTTGTATTATACTGTGCAGGTTTGTTTAGTAATAGTCCAGATGTGGGAGAATATAGAATTGTTTTAATCATTTATTAATTAAAAAGTGTATATTTCAAGAAAATGAAGACTTTTAACAGTGGTTGCGTTTCAATTGAGTTACCTAATTGAAGTTTTAGATAGGAAGAAGTGTTTTGAAATGTATCACACAGACATTGGCATGAACAGTAGATAGCTTAATATCTCGAATTATATCGTCCTTCATTAAACAGTCATAGACATTTCTTCTGATGACGTCTCGAAGATATGGGATATCTGACATGAAGGGTTATAGATGTACTGTGTCTGTATGTCTGCATGTTCTTTACATATGGAATGTTATCTCCTCAATAAATTTCTCGGCAACGGAGAGATTTGCGCTTGTCGATCATTTCTTTCATTATATAGTAGAGAGTTTGGTCGAATGGGAGACTGTTTATATTGTCGTCTTTTTCCTCCTTGTCAATTTAAAATAAATGAGAATGGTGGAAATAACAGGAAATCTTAGATACTGACCAATTTCTGCGTGGGATGAATTGAAGAAGTAGCATATTGGAGCAACATACCCAAAGTGAATGAGGAATGATGAGGAAAGTAGATTAAGGGGAAACAGGTGGTATCGGTGATATTCTAGAAAGCTTCAGGTTACCGTCTTATGAGTATACGTATTTGCTTTTTTTTTTCTTTGCATGTAATATTTTTCAGCCATAAATTGAATTATAATGTCTAGAAGAAACCGTCTGCGGCGAGCGATATATAACAAGAAAAGTTGTTGTGATTTACAACTGCTTCAAATGATCATTTATTTCTTCAATTTCCTCTTTTATGTTAGTTTTTTGTGCTTCTTTATCGTATTCATATTTATGTTTCATTATTTTAGAGTCATATATCAAAAGTTTGGTAGTTGTTTAAATTTCAACACAGGGCGGCTCTGACTTTTTGAATTTCAAACGAAAATGCCAGAGTTAAGTTTTATATTTAAATTTAAACTTGTAATATTGATGTTTCATGCAGATCAGTGCTATGGCACTAATTGGCCTGGCAATATGGACTTATACCATGAAATATACAATGATTGGTTCATTACTATACAGCAAGAGGTATCTACAGACCATCATTTTGTGCTTCGTTGTCGGTTTATCTGTATTTGTTGTAGCTTCATCAGGTTGTTGGGCTGTTTCAAAAAGAAAACAACTGCTGTTGTTATTGGTTGGTATTATTTTATATAGTTCATATGTTGCTTAAGATATTGGAGAATCATGTGTGAGCTTCGTTTCGCTCTGTTTTTGTTTGCTAGTGTATCTTTATTTTTAAATAAAGCAATTAGAGGAAATATTGTTGAATCGTTTTTTTTTTCAGTATTCGATTTTGATATTACTTACAATGTTAATGGAACTTGCGCTTTGTATTATGACGTATGCTTACATTGAGCACCTTGAGAATAATCTTGGAACAACCTTACTTATGTCAGTTATTCGCGATCATTCTGAGCGTGATGATATTTCTCAAGCACTACAGTATTTACACCAGCAGGTACAATAGAATAGTATATTAAATATGTGACATTCTACTTTATTATTAGTTTTTTTTTTATTTTATTATTAGTTTTTTTTTGAATGGGATGGCATTCTATTTTATTATTAGTTTTTTAGCATTCGTTTGCGCCAAATGTCTTAAAAATAATGTTTCGATAATTTTGTATATGGCAGTCATGTAGATAGCGCCGCAAATTTTATTGGACTTTGGCTGAAGTAAATTATGGAGTAAATTTATAAGTTCGATATGTCATTTTTAAAATAATATCGTTTATTTATTTCTTTTGAAGGGTCACTGTTGTGGTTCTCAGTCTTTCGAAGACTGGCGTGATTCTGTTTGGTGGCAGAAAGTAAATAGAGTATCTGAGCTGAAGCAGCGTTCTTTTGATTTGGCTGTACCGGATTTCTGCTGCCGCTCAGAAAAACCGAACTGTGGACGTCGAGATCATCCCTCTAACATTTATTATAACGTGAGTTGTTACACATTTCAATTACTCATATCAATTTTTCTAAATTCTGGGATCGATCATGTTGGGAGGGCTTTCTCAAAAATTAACTTAACTCGTGCCTGCTGCATTTTGCAGCCGATATTTTTCTTCGTTAGAATTTTCTTTTGTTCAGTTTTGTTAGTAGGTTTTAATAGAATTTTCAGGGTTGTTTGAATTATTTGATAAAAATAATGAAGAAACAGTTGCTAATCATATGTGGCGCTGCATTCGCACTTACAGTTGTGCAGGTATTTTTCTTTTGATTTTGTTACTAAATTCAGTACTGAATATAATAAAAAGTATTTGTAATAAACTGAGCTATTAAAATTAGATTAGACAGAATTATCATTCCCTTTATGTAGTTTTTCTATCCAATCACCGGTTTAACAAAAGTGTTAAAGATTTCTTATTTAGAAGGGAAGAGGGCTACAGTAATTGTGGTCACGCCTTATTTTTTTACATGTTTGATTAATTTCCGAAAATATTATGTATTCCCAGCTATTTGGTATGGGTTTTGCCATATGTTTGTATACGAAATGGCGAGAGTTTCGACCTATAAGCTCTAACAGCAAACGAAAAGACGATGCGACTCTCATGTATTCTTTATGAAGTTTTTTTGATCGAGTTATGCTAAACTCAAAAGTAGATAAAAATATACACAATCAAATTCGGCAAAAAACAAACATTCCTGCATTCTCATTTTGGTATTTAAACTTATCTCAATTTACAGGACTCACAGTATTAAAATGTCTCTCTCATTTTAGACATATCGTTCTTATTGCTGTTCGTTTTTATGTACGTTGTTTATTATGTTGCTTACAACTTTGATTGCTTATCTATTTATTAATCAAGTGTAAAATTGTAATATTGTTTACAATTGTGCTAACTTTGATGTAATGCATTAAATTCTCTGAATCTCATCTGACTGGTAAGACTCTCTAAGCCATCCATTTAACCTTTCTATTCCTTCTTTGTTAATTAGAATATGCAACTTCAAAAATCTTATTCAAGATTTTTTGGTTGCCTAAGAAGAAATTAGCATGATTGACGTAAACCCATTTTAACCATTTTATTAAATATTATGAAGCTATGTATATTGTATAATTTTGTCTTTCAAATGTAATAATTTTGGTCGATTATTAAGCCTTTTAATAAAACTATACATCATATGATTTATAATTTGGATTCACACAGAAGTTCGCGAATAATTTTGCGTATATGCTTTTTTTTGCATCTGCAAATGAATCCGGTTAAGATTAGTTCGTGAACTGTAACTGTGAATAAAGATAAACTTCTATTCAGTCCTTTCTTTTTTATGTATGTTCAATTAAAATCAAATAAAATTACAGTCAGAATTGGGGAGAATATACGTTATTAAAAAAAAATGATGATATTGTAAAGAAATCAGATTCCATTTAAAAAAACTTCACAATATTTTGTCACATACCACACTGAACTATATTTCTTGAGAGTAAATTTTATACCAATGACAAATAGACATCATAAAAAATGATCAGATCTGACTTCTTGCTTTGAATTCTGCTTTCAAACCATTTTGAAAATGGTTATACACAGGAAGGCAGACAGACAACCTCTATACGCTGGATACTGTGCATCCAACAATGGAGAACTAATACTGATTAATTTCAAAACTTGTTTTTCCGAGTTTAAAAGATTGCATCGATCACCTCAAAATGTTAGAACGATGTATTGGTTATTAGCTGATAGGAACTTTATTACTATAGTTTTGAAAAAGTTGAAAAAATTGAGAATTCATTTGATGTGCAGAAAAAGCGCATGCATCTTTTTAATGCTTGCCATGATATGGTTATGTAATTTAATCCACTAGCTGGAAAATTTGTAAACGATACTTTTCAGTGATATCTCCACTCATAATACTGTTACAGGATTTTTTGAGGTTTCAGAAAACGAAAGGAAGTGAAGCGTTACTCATGCAGTTTGGTTGAGCAATTTGAAAAATTCAAACAAGCTAATTAAGCAAAGGAAGAAGAAGAGAAAGTGGTGGATGGAAAGAAGGATGAAAGCACCCGGGTTAGTGGAAATTACCTTAGGGATTTGTTGGAAACCTGCTTTCCAGACTGCATCAGCCCATAACCGGGATTCACTAGGGAATTACTGCTCCTATGTTACGAGCTAGCTCATATATTGCCCAGTTCAAATCATCATATCCCCCGCTCTCTCATTCCTTTTCCCCGTCTTTTTCACTCATTGAAAATTTCATCCATCCTAGTTAACCGGCCTTTACATTTCCTTCTTACCTCAACCTTACTTCTCACTCTTTTAATTTCTTATCAACTTTTTAGTGAATATTTTGGGAAGTGAAAAATCACAAATCAACAATGTCAACGAAAAGGAAGCAATTTAAGCCAAAAGCATTCAAAGGTATAAATTTGTTCTTTAAAGTTTTTTATTTACTGTTCATTTCTAAGAATTTTAATAAAAGTCTAATCAAATCCGAAAATTTTCACAAAAAAAGTGATAATTTTGGATTTTGATATGCTATGAGTGTTATTTTTAGTGAACACTCTCCATTCGTTGCATTCCTATAAATTTTAGACTACATTACATTCATTGAAATTATTAAATTTTATAATTGCTTGCAGCATTTTATCATCTCTTCACCTCACGATAACATCACTGCACACCCGGTTTTAGCTGTTATCATATTAGATGTGACGAAAATTAACTGAAAGCTGCTAACAACTAAAGTGATCCAATTAATATATCTGTCAATTAAAGATACAACTGTCTTCTCGTAAAGCTTAAACTTTCGATAGCTTTCTTGTTTGAATTTCTCATAGAATGTATGATGACATCTCTAATCGATATATATCACTTATTCTGTATCATTTTATTATCTCTTCAAGGTTAATTTTGTAGGAAATGTGGTCTGTAATGCTAAAAAATTTTCCTGTATCAGTTAAATTTACTGATTGGTAGTTAACCAAGCGATCATTCAATTATTCATTTTTTTGGTCCCTTAGTCTGTTAGTTACTCAATAAAAGTATTTTATATAATCACTTCGAAATATTTCAGACGACGAAGCAATTAGCAATGATTATAATGATTTAAATAAGGAACAAGAAGTGAGGGAGAAGAAAAGGTTTGTTCACCCAAACTACTTCCTTTATTTCACTAACAATTTCACAACTAATAAATATAAAACTTATCAGCGAATTGAGAAATGATTGTAAATTTGTTTTGAGACAGATACGGTTTCATATCTTTATTTTAAGCTAAAAGTTCTTCTATAGCTGCTGAATAATTTTTCCCCGTAGTAAATTTAAATTTCAAATCTGTAAAGTTAACTCGATCTTAAATAATTCCTATGGTCCAAAAACTTTCATTAAAAAGTGATCACTGAATGAAAGCATTTAAATATTTTCCCCAGTACAAAAATCAATAATCTGAATAAATGCTGTTAATGATAGTGCTAAAACAAACATTAATTCATATAATTTTGCTTAACACTGAACGGAAGTGACTGTTATATTTCAGAAAGCGAATAAATGATAACGAATCAGGAATCGATGTCGATTCTTGTCGAGAATCTTATCTTTCAACCAAGACTATAGACATGAAAATAATTTGCTGCTTCTGTGAGACTAAATTTGATGATATCAAAACACTACAGAATCATACATTGCAGAATCATCAAGTACATGTATTTTCAAATACAGTAAGGAATACGAACAAATGTCACAACCAATATTTTCTCTCTAAACTATCAAATTTATCATCACTTAAACTTGCATTCACCGATGAATTAATTCTACTTCTTCCTTCTTCAATTCTTCATAACATTTATGGTTTTGAATGCAACTTTTATCATCAATAAATTCAATAATTATTACCTGAATTATTTGCTTAGAAATTACGGGAAAATTTGATTTCTCGAAAAAATATATTATAGTCTGCAAATAATTGCCATATTCTATTAATATTTATTATTTTAGGAGCAACAACAACAACAGCAACAACAGCAACAACAACAA